AGTTGGACTGATAAGAACATGTTCAATTACTAGCAACATTAGCCACTATCCGGAGGTAAGTAGGTCACTAGGTTTGCTGAATAACCTCTCGAGAACAAAATGATTCAACCAGTCTCGACTTGCAATCATGACGTGCCCACAACGAAGACAAGCCCGATGAAAGATTCTCTACACGCCTACCTCTGAACATTTGAACGATCGGATAAAATCTAGCTTCCTCCACACCTGACGGCTGCTATTCGTATGGGCTTGTTGCCAGGAGAAAAATTTAAAGCTCTCGATTTTAAGAAAATTAGCTGCTACATACAGCGTTAATAACAACCATCAACATGACAGTGAATAAGCACCGTAAGATATGACCCGAAGTATAATGGTTTATGGGGGGGGAGGGTGAATTGCGTTGTCCTAAGATAGGCGATATTTTTTTTCTTCATATTTCGACCGGCTGAGCGATCGGCCTGGTTCCGTATAAGCTTGTGTTGTAAAGGTTCAATATTTTATTTAAGTTTCTTTGGCCTTTTTCTACGAAGCGTTGCCAAAAACTAACATTTCTCTCTTGGACAAGGAAACAATTCGATATTCATATATGCCTCAGAATCAACGTAAAGAAGTTGATTTGCGAACATGATATTTTTCGATCCAACAAATGCTGCTGCTTTGCACCAACCATGCACTGCAACTGCTAAAATATCACTGAGCCTAAAATATCAATTTCCTAGGATCCTAGAAGCAAGGGCTTCGTGAGACTGCGCTGTGTGAATCCAGAGAAGTCACAGGAAATAGCGCGATAGGTAAATGTAACAGATTCGCAACTGTGCAATCATAAGGAAAGCAATGAAAGTGAAAGTTAGAAGGAGCTGCCAACACAATAACCGAACTCTGCAATGGATAGGAATAATGCCGCAAAGCAGCAGATTCAGAACAATGCTCTCGATTTCATTTTAGTCTGGTAGGTCCTTGAAGTATGATCGTTGGGACGGATTCTGATGACTTAACGACACATCTGTTTGGAGTCGTAGACGAGCTTCAATCTGTAATCATTATCCCATTGA